CAAACCCATTAAACATGCATACAAGAACCCAAAACAGACGGGAGAATTACAGGAAGGTAACACTGCCAAACCAAGTTTCCCTAATCTACCATATTGCGGAGCCAAATTCTTTATCTATTGAATCAAAAACTAGATACACAGTTACACACAAATTGAACAGACAAATCAAGTCTAGGGCTTGCTGAAGAACTTTAGGGCAAAAAAAAAGTGGGTTTTTGCTGGGATCAAACCTGAGGGTCAATTGAAATTCCAGAGTTGTGAGAGTGAGTCAGAACACCGCTCTGCGGGTGAGGAGCTGCCGCCTCCTTTAGCCCTTTAAGCCCTCCGAGTTACTTCTCTACTGACAAAACAGATGGTTATAAATCTGCAAATCAGATTGCACATTCTTTCTGTTTGAGTTGAAGAGTAATCAAAAATTAATGAATCTTTTGCCTTCAAATATTTTTTTTTTTGCAAAGAATCATATGGGAGAAGGGTGTTCCCGTGCAGGCAGAAAGAAGTTCAATTTGATGGGTTGGTTCATGGGAACACTGGTGATGCTCTTTCGAAGTTTTAACCAATTACTTGTTCAACTAGTACATATAATAAATCATTTATTTCTATAGAACTTGTACGTCTAGACAAAAAAAATAATAGGATTGGATCATCCATATTTCACATCTTTTAATAAGTGACGTTTATTTAAGTAAAAAATTTAACATGTTAATTAATATATCATTCCACTAACACGTCATACTAATATTTATTTGATTTTCAAATACATATTTATTCATTGATATAAGAAAAAATAAAAAATTTATTTATTCTTGTTCACCATATAATACTCAATTATTATTTTATTATAAAATTTATAATCATATAATGTCATTATTATTATTATTTATAAAAGTTATAGAAGTAGTCTTCTTTATGTAATGAAATTCAAAATAAAATGTTGAGTATAAATGTTAAAAAAAATACACACACATGTTTTGTAGAATTCAATTTTCTCATAATAATTTTTTTTAAAAAAAAAAATTGATTTAGTAATTGCCAAAAAATAAATCCCTTACATAATCAAGAGATTTTTTTTTCTAATTTTCATCCGAAGGCTTTATAGTTTATTTAACATACTATGCAATAGAAAAATATTTTACAATAAGTTCATTTTTGAAACATAACAAAAAAAAGTGATAAAAACAATGGGGAAATTCTATTATAGGGCCTCATTTTTAGGTATTATGTCATAATAAGACCTGAATTTTTAACTTTTTCATTTGAATGCTTGAATTTTAAGTTATTCTCCATAAAAGGCTTACTTTTACATTCTAATTCTCAATTTAAGACACCAACTAACTTTATATTTTTATATAAATATATAATCCATTATTTTAATATTTATATTTTAAGTAATTATAAATGTCTTTAGTAAAATTACTTTAGTATATTTTTTAAATAGTTAATTATTTAATTTTATCACATATTTAGATTAAATTAAGTTAAAAATCTATTTTTTAACTTCTAAAATAACTTTCATTAAGCTTTTGTATAAATGTAAGTTATGAAATAGTTATATTTTTTACCACAGTACCATTTTTTCAAAATGGCAAGTCAAACTGTGGTCAAATATGGTTGAGCATTAATTGCATGCTATTAATAGTAAGTTTTTATTTTATTTTTTTATTTACAAACGTGCATCATTAATTATTGCATTTAAATGTGGAGTTTGTTATTTATTTTTGCACAAGATTAGGTTGTTTCTTTTTCATTTTCATAAATTAAAAAAAAAACTTTCTTTAACATATAATCGTGTATCACATTGTAAATCTTATTTTATTAAAAAAATAAATTACACTTAATTTAATAATATAAACTTGCGTTAGTATTTACAAAAAATCAGAAACTCTTTTATCATCAACTCGACAACTACAATTATTTTAATTGGATGCTTTTATGTTTTTTTTAAAAAATAAATTACAATTAATTTATTTAGTGGATTTGGTTCAATTAATAAATTACAGTTCATTTAAACCATTATTCGAAAAGTTGGCCTAGGCGGCGGTGCGCCGCCTACGATTTGCTAAAATCGGCCATAAAAATCGGTCAGGCGGGCTAGTCGGGCCTAGGCGGAGCTAGTCGAGCCTCGGCGGTCACGGCAGCTACGCGGTTTCGGCAGGACTAGGCGGTTGGGGCGGGTTCCAGGCGGTTTTTACAGTTTTTTTTTTT